TGTGTTGCAGAGGGAACAGCACCACCTACTGGTCTATCAACACCACCTGCAGGAGCTACCAGATGAGTGGCCTCCCATACTAGAAATGACCAGGCCCAGCCATGCGTAGCTTCAACAGCCTGGCAGGTCTTCAAGGCTATACAGGCCCTTTACATCATGAAAATATTGAAACACTGATGCACTGTGATTATTTATAAGGTGAGAATGTGGGTTATAACCTATCTGGTCCAGGAACTGTATAGGAGCATTTTTACCTTCTAAATGTAATAATTCTGAAGAATCTGGCTCCGAGTCTGCAGGGTCTGTGTTCCGAAGCAAGTGCAATGTCCTGTCCATCTTCTCCTACAGATAAAATCCATCTCTTATTAAAAATATATGCACAGTAGTTTCAGAAACAGATGAACAATTTTTTACTACTGTCATGTGAATATCATAACAGAAGGGAGTAGTGGGTTATAGCCCTGAACATGTAACTGGAGAGTAATTAAGTCTGGCTGCTCCAGTATAACACTGTGCTGTATAAATGGATATTCTATCATTGGAAATGCAAATCTGCTCTCAGTTAACTTATCTGAATTAATATTAATAAAGGATTATTATTAGAAAAGTTGACTATGTGAATTTCTGTGCAAGCATTGCACAGTGCTGTCTGTGTCCAGGTAAAAGTCAACTCACAAGGATTGACAAACGTAAACGTCTTGAGGATATTTGTGGTTAATTATGCCAAAACTCATCTTAAAAATGAATTATATATTACTAAATAACATACATAAATATTTGTCTTCTTTTTACTTTTCAGGACATAGCCTCTAATTGTTCCTTGAAGAATGAGGTACATACTAGGCCCAAAGAAGGCACCACAGCAGAAATGTTGTGCTTCTTTTCTTCTCTTTTCGGCATGGAATAAACCCTTACCTGTTCCTTAAGTTCTTTCGTATTCATATTAGAATAATGCAAATGCTAAACTGCTAGAATGCTTATATTGTACAATGAACAAACAAGAACACAGAACACAGAACAAACACCTCATCTATGAAGACAGGCTCAGGCTCCATCTTAGATTCTAAGCTTGTGTCCTCAGGCAAAGCCGTTTTCTCCACAAAAGCAGCTAAAACAGGAAAAACAAGATCTCATAAACCATTTTATCATAAGCATTTTTCCTGTTTAACCAAATTCAAGGCAGCTTGCATGGCTCCAGAAATCTCGCAATGCCTCACCTGGTTCAGGATCAGCATTGAGGTTGGTCGTTACAAAATTTGACGGAAACAGCCCGACCCCTCTGTGATTCTCTCCCTTCCACCAGTTCGGATCGCTGCGTAAATAATGTTATTAATCCGCAATTAACAAAAATCAGCTTTGCCATTAGGACTCAGACTACATTACTATTACTGAGAAACCCTCAAATTGGAGAAGAGGCATTTGGTAAATCACCGACACATGTAAAGACTAATCCATTAAAGACTAAAATAAAATATTTATTTTGGATTACCACTAATAAGTTATTTTTTCTGATAATAATTTTCCAATAAATAATTTTAGGACTGATGTGCTCATACGGCTTTAAGATTTGCTTGAATTTCTAACTGGACATTTTATTCTATATCTGGAAATATCATTCACTAAATTATTTAAAGAGAAATTAAGGCTCATTACTTTCACATCATGAAGTCTGAATTGTTAAGACGGAAGAGGAGATGAATCAGCAGACTGGAGCATGGGTACCTGTCATCCTGAACAATGATGAGCTCTCCTGCTTTAAATGTCAGTTCATTGTCTTCTGCAGCCTCAAAGTCATACAGAGCCCGAACCTTTCGGGACTCCCTGTTGTTGTTAAACGGAGGGTCAGCAACAACCGTCAACGGACGGGTCTCTGTCTGCTGCTGACGCTGTTCCTGCAGGGACAGCTCAATGGCTGAAAACAAACAGGCATGTTAATCTGCACTGAGGGCTCCAGAATCAGGATGAATAACGGGCATGGTTTATAGAGCAGCCAACATTTAAAATAAACACCTCTGCATTCTGTCCCAGTTACCAAACACATTTGAGTCTCTATCTTAAAACAAAAACTTTTGGTTAAGTAAGAAGGTAACATAAAAGGCTAAACATGGTGTTCCCATCCCGTCGTTCATCAATAAAAGTTTGCCTTTCACAATACAACAAATGCAAAAGAAACACAAAGAATGGGAGCAAACACCAGAATAAAGAGAGAAAAGGCCCAGCCATTTTTAAAGGACCCCAGGGAACCTCCTTCACCAGCCTGGCTGGGAACTTTTGCTCCAGAAACACAAACCCTTTCATGCAAACAGGTGCAACCCTAATTCAATCATAAAATCCTATAGCATTGGAAGAAAAATAAAGGGTTATGTCACCAGAGGGCATTGGTGAGACACTCCAGAAACACTGAAGAATGCATTAATTAACAGAAGCAAGAGGTTATTAGGGAGCTGAGGCCACCCGTGTGAAGCCCCATCTCCCTGTTTAAGGTGTAGAGAGTAAATAGTCACTGGAAGGTACATCAAAGAGAATCAGAGCTCACAGGGAGCTAGACCCTCCCTGTCCCTGTGACAGATGACCTGGGCTATAGACTCACTACACAA